AGCCTTTTGTTGTGTATTGAGGAATCCCAGAGTGCATCAGCTACAAAGGACCTGTCAGTAAAGTAGGGTCAATGTTATTCAGGGCCACAAAATTTAAAACGACCAGGAGTACATGAAATCAAATATGTTGCTTTCACAATTTTTGCTAGAGAAACAGGTATGTGTTATCATGGTAAGTGAGAGCAATACAGGTCCACCTCTCTGTGCCACTCACAAGACCCTTCCTGCAATGATTGTTAGTTTGCTTGTTGTTGAAGTCTCATCTTACTTTGAAACGGTCACACACGCGTCTCATTAATCACAACTTAAGAATACATGACAGGTTGCTTCACTCTCTCCAGCTGCTCAATGACGAAAGGAAACTAAATCTACTTGACCTAGTCTTTAGTGGTAGGGGCTCTAGGCTCAAGTTTGGTCACATCTGAACTGTTACAAACATTGGGTCAAATTTCTTCCGCTCAGACTTGAGTGAAACTATTGCAATCACTAGAAAGAAAGCCTTGTGATCGCAGCTTTGCTTTGGAAGACCCAGGACACATTCCTTTTCTGCAGGTAGCCTCCACTCACCCTCCCTCCCTTACTCCACTGAAGCAAAAACCCCATGTGGGAGGTGTTTCTTCAGTGTGCACTTCTCAAGTTTTAACAACTTCCCAAATGCTGCAAGGAAAGAATATCAGATATTTAGGAGAAAGGGGGGGGTGACAGAAGAAGGTCCTTGACTTGTACATGGTCATGGGTACTGGGACTGCTCTTTGTCCTTGCTTTCTGTGATGAAAGCTGCCATCTGTCCCGGCCCATCGCCAGCCTGAGAAGCTGGCATCCCTTAGCTGATGATAGCATCTGGAAGCCAGTTCTAATAGGATTGTGCTCATACCTCTTGCACACCCAGACGTCTCTGTCTCACTCCAGGCTCCTCTCAAACAGACAATGCTGCCAAAAAACTAATATGAGCCCTTAAATTTCCCCATAGGTCAGTTCACTCAAGTTCATGCCCTTCCCACTGCTCCCATGACTCTCTTTCAGGAATAACCACAGCAAAGTCTGCCTGCTCCTTTCCCTGCTGCATCATTCTACAGAAAGCAACTA